ACATGATCCAGGTCTTTAACATACTGAGACAAGTAGATAACGTAGAGGCAAACAAGCTATTTCACTTAGATTGTGAGGATATTATTTATGAAACTGATAGCAGCTGAATGGTATTGCAACAATTGGAGAGCTCACATATCTGTTGAGAACATCTGGTGATATTATACTAAGGGCAGTTATTCTCTCGTTTTTGGCAAATGCATCAACATTGGCATTGTACCCATATGATTCTCCTCAGCAACGATTTTACCAACATCAATGACGTGCAGTTATAATGGGAAAATAACCACCCAAGGTGTTCAAATCCCTCCACACAAAGCCCATGAAAAAGCATGTTGAGCCAACATTGTATTGTCTGAGCTAACCTCATCAAATGTGAATAGATTTATAATAATGGCAAACTCGTCCAAATTTTCTGCAGACTATGGCAATGCAAATTAGGAAACTATATTCCCAAAGCGAGTGTACTTATTGTCTTGCTGAATTTGTTTTGGCTGCAAATGTGAGTTCCATCCGCTCTGATAAATCAGAAGTCGGTATTTCTGCATCGGATTATAAAGTGGAGGTGAAACTATTGCAGCCTTAAATAATCTTCAATAAATTATTCTTGATTTTAACAAAGTGCAAACCTACAATAAAACATTGTCAAAGATAGGGTGAGCCTTATGCTTCATGAAACACATATGAGGACTTGATAGAGCGGAGGTACTTAAAGGGTTAGCAGCGTTCAAAGTAGAAAAGTCATTTTTACCCCAAGGTAGAAAAGTCACTCGGTCCAGATGGAATGTATGCTAGGTTGCAGAGGGAAGTTAGGGTGGAAATAGTGGAGGCTCTGGCTACAACCTTTCAATCCTCATTGGATATGGGGATAGTGACGAGGGCTGGAGGCTTGCAAATGTTACAACCTGTTCAAAAGGGGGAAGAAGGATAAACTACAGGCCAGCCAGCCTATCGTCGATAGTGGGGAAACTTCTAGAGTCCATAATCCAGGACAAAATTAATTATCACTTGGAAAAAACATAAGTTAATTAATGACAGTCAACACAGATTTGTTAAAGGCAAATTGTGGGTCTGTTAGATTTGAGTCAACCTTTTGTGGTGATCTCAGTAGTCCAGTTACTGAGATAGCTGGGTTTGCAGTTCTTCACAGCACTGCTGATGACAGCGCAGCCAGCCTGAATTATCAGCAGGGTCTGGAATGGCAGACTGGTCACTGTGGGCAGGGATTCTTCCCACCCATCTCCTGTTAACCCTGCAAGCCTTGTGGTCAGAGTGTTCCTAGTTGGACATGCAGCATAAAGATTCCCAGACAGTGCTTTTCAAATACGGTAAGCTGTGAGGCTTTAGTTGATGAAGCTTCAGCAGGATCACGATATGCATTCTGAGGTCATTCACCTTAACTCTGGCCAACCTACAACTGATACTTTCTGGAATTAGGTAAGCAGGGTAAGTCCCTGCAGGCAGTGCACATTCCATTCCAGGCATAGGGAAATGTCCATGTGTATTTGACATACATGTGTGGAGCTCTGTCTGGTTTGGATACTCACCAAAACCCTCATACATGCTTTTATTACATCGAGGCTTGACTATGCAAACTCATTGCTTGTCAGCCTCCCCAACTCCTCCCTCTATAGGCTACAGATCATCCAGAACTCTGCAGCCTGTGTCCTCTTTCGCACTAGGCTTCGTGACCCTATCACCCCCATCCTCGCCCAACTCCACTGGCTTCCCATCACACGAGGATACAGTTCATGATCCTGGTCCACACCTTCAAAGCCCTCCATGGTCTTGCTGCCCCCTACCTCTGCAACCTCCTAATCCCCTACCATCCTACTCGCTCCCTCCGCTCAGCGGGCTCCGGCCTGCTTCACATCCCCCGCCTCGCTTGCCCCACTATTGGTGGGCGGGCCTTCTGCCACTCTGCCCCACCCTCTGGAACTCCATCCCACAGTCCCTCTGCCCCACCCCCGCCCTTGCCACCTTCAAGACCCATCTCAAGACCCTCCTCTTCGACTGTGCTTTCGATCTTCCTGCTTCCCCCCCAGCCCTCCACCCTCCCCGACTCCGACCCCCAGTTCGTCTGTCCAGCGCCTTGGGTCTTCCTCCCGAAGTGAAAGGTGCTATATAAATGTAATCTTGTTATTGTTGTTATTAGACACCCAGCTGATTAAAAATATTTAAACTGGTGGAAATGTTAATTTCTTTGCAGGTGAGAATTTAATGGATGTAGTGGCACAATTAATGGAATGCTCTACCAGTCAGTCACCTTCAGATGAGGTTTTGCAATTATATTGAAATAGGTTGATTAGGTACTGAATTATAATTTTATATTTGTGTGAAATGGGAAGATGTGTATTCATGCAAGCAATGTATGGTTGGTTTTATAGACACTGAGGAGTGCATGATACAGTATATGAGTTTTGAAGGCATAATATAAGGAAAATATTTATGTTGCAATATGTTTTAAATTTGTTGTTAGCNAAAAAAACTCCCATTAATATTATAGGACAGTAATTTCAAGACCATTGCTTAATTTAAGGGTTTAGAAGATAGTTATGAAGTGGGAAACCTTGTTTTGTAGTTTGTCATATTACCTAGAACATGCAGTGAGATTACTATCTTGCAAGTGATAGCTATTATTCGTTGTAATAACACTTTATGTTGAAAGTGCCTTCATGAGACTTTGTGCCATACTTTAGAACTGACATTAGACTCTGCCATGCAAGAGAAAGTCAGTGAATGAGAAAAACTAAAGTTTGAATAAAGAATAATGTAGCCAGTTGAAAGATGGGAAATACATGAGTGATTATATTAACTAACCCTTCTGTATTAAATCTGCTTTCCAACATTTGCTAGTTAAATAATCCTTTCTGACCTTCACTCATGGGATCATTGAATCTATTTATAGGAAACTCATTGACACAGTGATATCAATTAGACTATGAAGATAACATTACCTTGTACACACTCGTTTATTGTAAAAAATTCAAATTCAAGCAATGATTGAAATTGTATAGTTGTGGTTTTATGACTAAAATATTGAGTTCACCTACAAATACAGTCATTACATTTTGCAGTAAACCCTGTGTTTTGAGATGTTTCCTCACAATGTGAACGCAATTTTTAGTATATCAAATGCAAGGAGTGTTATTTAATGAAGTAAAGCCAGAGAGGTTTTCTTGAAGGTCATCTCATCTCAGAATTTAGAAAAATGTTGGAAAGTGAACAAATCCTAGTTCACAGACTTCTGAACACTGCCCGCCCCACCCCAACTTCAACACAATGATTGCATCTGAAGACTTCAGTGGTGACGGTTGTAGAGGACATGTTTTCATAACTAAAATTAGGAAACTGGCTTAACTCAACCATCCTGTCAATACAATGTATTTTTGTCATGCTGCCACTGTGAAAATGTTTACAGTAGCATTTATTTTTGCATAAAACCTGAAGTCTGGGGAGAGGAGGATGGTATTCAGACCACAAACCAATCGATAATTATTGACTGAAAATCCTCTGTTTCTCAACAGATTGAATGAAACAATCTGATATGAAACATTACATATTTCATCTCAAAATATTTAAGATACAGGTGACATTAGACTTCATAATAGATGTTGGAGACAATCAAATCAAAAAGATCCTTGTATCACTCAATACATTGGTAGAGGAAACAAATAAGACATTTTGACCGAGGCAATTCTCAACTGCTCCCTGCTTTAGAGCTGTTCTTATATGTCTTTATTACACTCCATCCAGCCAAATGGTTAATTTTATTTTCCGCAGTCTCTCCCATTCTCTTTTGTGTTGCTAGCTCTAAGACAAGGTCTTCCCTTGGATCAATTATCTTGCCCATGAGTAAAATTTATTTCACTTCTGCCTGATATTCGGTTCAAATGCGTGGCCAACAGTATAACAAACAACTCTGTTGAAGCCTGGGAGTTGTCCAGCAGTGGAACTAACCATTTTCCACATGAGATCCATAATTTATAAGGAGACACTGTGTTTAATTTGTGTTATTCACAAATGACAGACTGGAGATTGAATGGGCCAATAATATTTTGCTCTCTGGCCTTTTCTTGCACTTTGCCAGCTTACTGAAATGATAATTAAGTCATTTTGTGAGTGTAATAAATTAAACAGCTTTTGATATTCCCATACCAGAAATCAAAAACAACAAGTTGGATTTATATAATGCCTTTCACGTAAGGAGGACGTGCAAGGCATTATATAAATCGATCGTTTTACATGTATTTCATTTATTAGTTCCCATTTTATTGATATTTTTTAATGTCTTCTTTCTCAATCTTTCCACTTTTCTTTCTGATTTGAACTACTCCATTCTTGCCTTTCTGGTGTAGTTGAATTCCCTTGCCAGTTCAACAGCCCTGGTGAATTCCACAGTGATACCATGACACCACTGGCCAATCAGAAAACTGCAGAAAAAGATGAGCATATTTTAATTTTTTGCAATAACACTTATCCTGACCACCGGTTTTGAATCCAGTGGTTTTGAAGCTATAAAATACACTGCCCTTGTTCACCATTTGTTTGTTACAGAACATATGGTCTTCCTCCAGCTTCAAAAGGAATGCAATCTATTTATTCACATCTTATTGACAGGGCAAATCTCACAATTAATATTTGTTCAGTTGTTCAGTTGGTACCCGAGTCTGAAAGTTGTGGGTTCAAGTCCCACATCAGGACTTTGAACTTAGAGTCCATGCAGACAATCCAATCCTTAGGAGTGGATGTTAAATTGAGGTCCCATTTGCCTGTTCAAGTGATTGAAGATCCCATGGCATTATTTGAAAAGAGAAGAGAGTTTCTCTTTCAAAGTGTCCTGACCAATAATGCCCCAAATAAAATTGGTCATTCACATCATGGCTGTTCATGGGACAAAATACACACAAAAACTTTACAGTCAAGTGCTTTGAAATGTCCTCCTAAACTGAAAGACACCATAAATGCAAGGATTATTATTATTATTTATTTGTTTTCAGGTTGCCTGGAGTTAAAGGAAGAGACCATTGAAAACCTTTTAGCAGCAGCCTGCTTACTCCAGCTCTCACAAGTAGTGGAGGTGTGCTGTCATTTCTTGATGAAGCTTCTCCATCCATCAAACTGTCTGGGCATCCGTGCATTTGCTGATGCTCAAGGCTGTATAGAGTTAATGAACGTGGCTCATAAATACACTATGGTAAGTCGGTAAATATTTTCTTATTTCACTCTTCAGAACATATATGTCTCGGTGTTCCCACTTACCACTTCCCACTACCTTCCCACTTTCGTCACTCTACAAACTTGGGCTTGTTGCACATCTATTGCATCCTCTGATCTATCACCAGTGTTCGAGCTTTCAGCTTTTATGGCTCCACTCTCTCGAACTACCTGCCTTGCACTCTCTCTATCATTGTGTTTAAAACCCTGCTAAAGATCTTACTCATTTCAATGTACCTTTGGTTTTCTTCAACCCACTACCTTTAACATTGTATCACATCGATGTCCCATATTAAAGGTGCAACATATATTTTGCGGGCAATTTTCTATCTCTTTCTAGAAGCTTTAGTCGTGACCTCTTGTTAAGAATAACTTGTATTTATATTGCACCTTTCACTTAAAAACAAACATCTCAGAAGCACAGATGAAACCTGAAATGAATAACAGTCCTAATTGTGGACATCTTGACTATATTGCACACGCATTGAAGTCCAACTCATCGATTATACCCTTTAGGATCTGGAAGACTTCAATAAAATCATCCCTTAATTTTTTTTCTAATGTAAACATGCTGGGTTTTCACAACCGTCCCTCATAAATTAGGTGTCTAATTCCCATCTATTAATTTGGGTGCAATATGTACCAATACAACAAATCATGAATGATGTAACATAAAATCTCCGTACAAATCCATATTGTTTTGGTCGACATGACAATTTAAAATGAAAAATTCGAGGCAGACACCAACACTAAATAACACTGCTTATTTACATTTAGCACCACAGAACACAATATCGATAGCCTAATAATAAATCTCCTTTAACATGTGGTTCTTTAAAAAAAACTCATCTGTGCTGTTCTTATGGTGCAGTATATTAAACAATCTGGCAGCAATAAAACAATGTCAACGTACTGCATTACCCTGGAACAGCTTAGAACTAAACTATTGCACATGTCATGTTTGATATTGAAACGTCTGACACAATCCATACAATGTGATCAAGTAGCAGCTGAGAATGTCTTAGCTGCTCAATAGTTATTACTGAATTTTATTAAAGCTGCAATATACATCGAGATTCAATAACCTTCAATAGTAATGAAGATATGTTAATGAGGTGTTAAGAACAATAAAAAAGAATAGCAAAAATGAAAAAGCAATGTTTGTCATAGTTTGTGAAAGAGGCAGCAGTCAGAAATATGATGGAAGTCTCAGTCCTGCAGTGCTAAAGGATTTTGAAATAAGTATAGCAGCAGGCTGCAAGGGATTGTATTATAACATTGACATAAATATATTACAATATTCACCACTTAACACTACTTGTTAACCCTTCTGAAACGCTGGGATAAAACTTACGGCATTTCATAACACATTCCTCATTGTGCCTGGGCATCCTGAAGCTACAACGATTGTGGAGATTGATGCTCGAGTGCAGCTAAAACACATTGCGGACTTATTTCCATTGTGTCCTATGAAACTGCACACACTGCTGCCTTTGGGATCTAAAATCAAACTCTGGGCAGGCATTCCTGTATCAAAGATTTTAAAGACAACTGCACAAAGGAACAATTCAAATGTGGATACGTCTGGTGGTGTTTGGTACACTAAAACTCGCATAAGTTTTATTTTTCTATTAAAAAAATGTTAAAAATAATAATTTGATCACTTCAATCCATGACTGTTTGTAGGGCACTGCTGTGCACAAGTGGCTGCCACATTTCACCCACAAAACATATAATCAATTCACTTTACAGTATATTCTGTGAAGCACTTTGAGACATCTAGAAGATGTGATAAGGCATGCAAGGATTATTATTATTACTTATAAATCGTAGAAACCCCTAAGTCGTACATTCACCTGAGTCCCATTCAGTTTCCTATCAAAACCACTTGGGTTTCTTTACACTACTCATGTTACTCGCCTCCTAACTCGTAATGCTGCTCCAATAACCTCCATTACTCCCACGCTTACCAGAGGCCTTCAATCACAGGAAATGATGTCCTTACCCATTGACACATGTGCACTTACCGGATGGCTACATTGAATAGCAGGAAACGTAGCCTTCACCCGTTGACACATGCGCAGAAGACTTTCATTTCCCTTGATTCATTGCGAATCCAATGTTTGCCAGTAACAGTGCAGTGTCGGGTGAAGACACATTAAATCATGGGAACTGCGTAATTTAATGTAGATTATTGATTAAATTGGATTTTCTACGACAGTTTGCCGGCAACTCGGACTTTGTGTAAGTCATATTAAATGTTTTGGTCCCGACTGATACAACTTATGTGAGTTCCATAGTATATAATTCATTATATCTCCATTGCATCTTTCACCCTTATTCCTGATATCTTGATTTCTAACCTGGCTTTTCAGCATATGTGCAATGAATATCAATTGTGAATCTGTTTGCTATTACACTGTTGGCATTTACATTTGTGACCTGGGGATTATAGTAGTTTAGTATGACTTGCACACTATCATTTTATGTTTTAAAAAAATGTTTTTCTAGAATTTCCATAGAGATGATTTGAATTTTGGTCGGCACTAAATTTAAATCTACTTCAAATATTCGCTGTGCTATCATTTTATTTTTCTCTTACTTACACTTGTACCGTTCTGGCTGTGCTTACCACTGACAGAGGAGTTTACAGTGGTTTCCCTATGGCAAGAAATAAAACGCCACAACACGTTAGCAATTCAGTTTGTCATGACCTGCTATTCAGAGGCTACAAAATATATTACGTATTTACACTTACATGAGCCAAAGTTGTCACTTTAGCTGAAATCTAATCTTCATTGTTCATGAATTGTGAGCATGGTGAGAAAGGTCACTTTCTCTTAATGTCAGTTCTTCTTATGGCAAACTGAGATTTAGTGCATGATTTTGCAGTCTGAGGTGTATTTACTTTGGCTTTATCTTGATTCTAAGATCATGTAAGATCAGGAAGTGAGAGCAGAGACCTGACAACCCAGAGATCAGTCATTTTTTTAATGAGAAAAAGAACTGCATTGAGATGTGCTATCTCCCAAAGTAAAAAAAACATTCTTGGCATGATGAATTGTCATTTGGTAAGATTACTAGTGTCTATGGAACTAATATGCCTTTATTGAAGGAGGGGAAACATTGGAGGGGAAAAAAGTTAAAAAAAAGAAAATTTTAGCATAGGTTTAAGTGCTCCGGGATGCTGAAGGGTGATGAAGGGTGCATTATAAATGCAAGTTGTTATTGTTGCTCAGTTGTTGCTTTACCAAGAGCATAAAACAGAAAAATGGCAGAGCACAGATGTTGGTCTATAGACATCATTAGCTTGTCTGGTTTCATGGCAGATCTACCGTGACCATAAATAATAATAATGATGAGTAGGCTACAAAGTTCACAGCTGTTCATGGAGCAAAACTCTACACTGAACAGATTTGGTTTCTCTACCATATGGCTCAACAGTTGGAGAGTACGTTAACTCTTTAACTCATTTTCTTTTTGCAATCTGCTTTATTCTACTTGTCTACTAAGTAAAATACAGCAGATCTATCATATGCATGTGAATCCCACTAAATGACTACGAATAGAAAACTATGGGTCTCAAATTGCTTTATTAGAAACATAATTCTAGTGTACCTGACGACAAAATGAATTTTAGGCAGGTCTTCATAGCAGTCTTTCAACAGTTGTGGTTAAAGAGGTAGTTTTTTTTAGGTGGTATTTAAAGACATATAGATGAGGAAGTGAGGGATAGAGGGACAGAGTTTCAGAGGTTTGGGGCATACATCCTGACATGAAAGATGGCATATAAATGTAAATTTATATTGTATTTTATTGTAGATGCTGAAGGCTCAGCAGCAGACTCAAGTTAGCTGAGCAGAGATGGTGAGCAAAAGAGTGAGGCAAGAGAAAATCAGAGATAGCGAGTTGCTAGAGCATGAAGAGATTTATAGATGAAGCTGAGGACTTTCAAGTCAATCCATAGGGCAACAAAGAGCTAACAGTAACAGTTCACTTTAAGTGTCTGCTACAGACCAATATTGACAACACTGAAACATTCTGGGCCAAACGCAAATTGTTTTCATATATATTTAAAAAAGATCAAATAAATCTGGCGAATGAAACAGTTAATCCAAAACAAAAAGGAGCATAAAACAATTCCTGCAGTCAAACGATTCTTCATTGTGAATGGACAAACTGCAAAATGCGGTCTGTGATAATTATCACATGACATACTGCACTTTTTAAAAACTCCCTAAAGACTTGTAAAGGCCTTCCCCCCCATCCTCTTCCCCTCCAATATCTGCTCAAAGCTATTCCTATTTTCCCAATGTGCATCAAACCATTGTCCTCTTTCAACTGCTCATCGGGTGAACCTCCAGTTGAGTCTTGTTTGTGAGGCTGGTGCGTCATTTAGAATCTGAACACCATAATAATAATAATAATAATAATCCTTGCATTTGATATAGCGCTTTTCACGTCGGGAGGACGTCCCAAAGCGCTTCACAGAATACACTGCAAAGTGAATTGACTGTATATTTGTGGGCGAACGCGGCAGCCAATTGCGCACAGCAATGTCCCACAAACAGTCGTAGATTGAAAATGACCAATTTATTATTATTTTTGGTTTTGGAGGGATTATTATTAGGTGTGTGGAGTAAGGAAACTTGCCCAAGGTTTCGCGCTGCCTGGAATTGAACTCAGGTCTCTCGCTTGCAAAGCGAGTGCTCTAACCACTGAGCTACAGGACTCCAGGAATAATCCCATTCACAATAATTTAAACTGATCACTCAATCCATGACTGTTTGTGGGACATTGCTGTGTGCAATTTGCTGCCGCGTTTCGCCCACAAAATATGGTCAATTCACTTTATGTACATTCTGTGAAACGCTTTGAGATGGCTCAAAGAAGTGACAAGGCGCTATGTCAAATGCAAGGATTATTATTAGGTTATTGTATTCCATCAACTGAAAATTAACACGTGCAACAAAGCAATAA